TGTTCTAGCAAATAACAATAAGGAAAAAAAAGGGTGGAAGATAGGTCTGATATCGGTAGATGACGTGCTGATCCTGGCAGATGGTGTCTGGTCGGTGTGACGATGTTGTTGTTGGACGGCGTGCTGATGTTGGCACACGGCGTCCGGTCCGCGTCGAAACAAAATATTAACAGTGAAAATTAGCCGAAAAAACCGGCTACCGAGCCCATCTGGAGCTCCGCCTCGCTCCATTTAGGCCCGGTTTACAAAGAGAGCTGCATACGTGATTGATGTTGGTGCCGATGTTTGACGGCGGCACCGTTATACAGAGGAAATTACTGTACTGCAAAACAAAAATTTATATAATTTTTGTATCGCTTTTTGTTTCCTTTGTTTGCTGTTTTCCATTCGTGGCGCTTTTCCTCGACAGACATCATTTAGGATGTATCTTTTTTGATCATTCCGTAGGATTCAACCTGGTTGCTACAATAACTGCTTATTATGCATTATTTTTTAAAAACAAATCGAAATAATTTTATATAGCCGTTCGACCGGATTCTTGTACCACACTGGCAGTTTGCCCTATGTTCTTCCAACACCGCATAAATCATAATCCGATCCAAAGGAAGGAAGGGGAAGGGGACGATGCGTTCTTCGGGTACCAGTGTTGAAACTGTAGAAGACTCACTTCCGCACCACCAGTCATCCCCCCTCCCCACTCTTCCCCTCAGGTGGCCGCTTTGGATCCGACCCTGGCGTGGATACCATCCGAAAATCCTCCTTTATCTCTTTGCCGTCGCTCATTTTCTCCACACGAAGGGACCAGTTCTTCTTTGCTTACATTATTATTTAAAAAAAAAAAAGTTGTTTTTGAAGAAACTATGTGCTAGGTTGTCCTCAAGTTAAATTTTGGTCATTTTATAAGTATAGTTTTGTGAATATAGTTTTTTGTGGATTAAGTATAATTTTGTGAATTATTTCCTTGAGGTTCTGTGAAACTCAAAATTGAGATTGACTTTGTAGCACCAGCTTTCTGGCACTTACTGTCCTCACATACAATAACTAAAAATTTTCTAGATTTCAT